GGGGCATCACTGCCCTCAACCCCTAGCAGCCAGAAGGGCCATCGTGCCCTGGGGGTTGCCAGGACCCAGGGTTGCCCATGGAACCTTTGTCCCTGCAGAACTGGTGCATCAAGCGGCGGTCCCAGTCCATCTACCTGCAGGTGCTGACAGACAAGCACGCCCCAGAGCACTACAGGTACTGGGGGTTCCCAAAAGAGATGGGCTGGGGTGCTGCCAGCCTTCCCCACAGGTGTCAGTGCTGTGCAAAGTTGGGTGAGCACCCTCAGGAGTGCCAGTGCCAGCAGATTTTGGGGTGATATCCCTGGGGCAGGGGACAAGCTGGGGTGAGCGCGTGCCTTGAGTGGGGTGCCAGGCAGCACTGGGGGGAGCAGGGGTGCCCACCTCTGAGGTTCCCCCTCTACTGGCAGGGTCCTGGGCAGTGTCTCGCAGTTTGAGGAGTTTGGACGGGTTTTCCACTGCCCCAAGAACTCACCCATGAACCCGGTGCACAAGTGCTCTGTGTGGTGAGGCCGATCCCCYATGGCAGGCTGGGACCCTCCATCCCCACCCCTGCCTGTGCCCACTCCTCACCTTCCCATCTCCCCTTCCTACTCTCCAGGCAAAGGGGGCACYCCCGGGTGTCACAGGGGGTCACCCCAAAGGCAGGCACCTGCCACAGGGGGGTGGAGGCAGCAGAGAGACACTTGGGTGGGGCAGCTGCCTCCTCCCCAWCCCCCTCCTAGCCACTGCCCTGCACACTGTGGGGGTCTCACAGAGGAAAGAGGCCATGCCCAGGCACCCCTGTACCTCTTTTTCTGTCCACTCACCCCAAATCCTTCACCCAGCCCTACCACATCCAACCCAGTGTTGGTCAAGGCAGGGGGAGCAGTCCAGAGGTTGCCCCATGCCAAAAGCCTCCCCTGCACAGTGCCCTCCCTGGCTCTGCCCACACCAGCCCCATCCTGTCCCCACACCAGCCCTGCGAGGGGGGCACAGAGACAGAGCCGGGGCTGGGTGATGCCAGCCCGCCTGGGCACACGGACACTGCTGTATTTTCCGCTGCTGTTTCTGGTCAATAAAGCACTGGATATGCTGGGCGGTTGCCAGGGGCTGTGGCCAGGGGAGGGAGCAGTGGGCAGCACCCCCAGCCCTGCCATGAAGACGCCTGTCCCACCCYGTATTTATTTAACAATATATTTAACACTCCAGCCCACGGAATTTGGTGTCCTGATGGCAGCTGTGTCCAGAGCAGGGGCGTTTCAGAAARCTGCCATCTGTCTGCAGGTGCCACACCGTGGGGAGGGGGAGGAACACATGGGAGGAACGATGTCCTGTGGGGTGCCCTGGGGCCATGGTCAGTGGAAGAGGGGCAGGAGGAGGGCGGGCAGGAGCAGGGCCAGGGGGGTGGCGCGGATGCCAGGGGCCGAGCCCCGCTGGCGGCACTCGGTGTAGGGCTCCAGGCAGGCAGCATAGGCCATGACGTGCGCCACGTAGGTCTGCTCCTGCACCCCGTGGAACAGGTGGGCCATGGGGCCCTTGGCCAGGATGGCCACRTCCTCACCGCCGTGGGTCTCTGAGTCCAGGGGCACGGCTGCCTGTGGCTGGTAGTTGAACTGCACTGGGGAGGGGAGAGGAGAGAAGGGGGTGAGGGGGGACAGTGCCGGCCCCCAACCCCACCCCCACTGTCCCACCATGATCTCTGTGCTCTCACTGGCTGTGTCAGGGTCCACGTTGGGCCGGTCAGTGCCCGGGTATCCCGGCCCATTCCCGTACAGGATGGATGTGTAGTTCTTCCCGTCAAGGCCTTTCTTGGGTGCCAGACCTGGGGAGGGGGCGATGGAGGGGGAGGATCAGCCAAGGAACACCCGTGTCACCCCTCTGGCCGCAGTCAGGGTGCCGCAGGGCCGGCAGCGCCCAGCACAGGGCAGAGCCCCACCGAAGACGGAGGAGCCACGCAAGGTGTAGCCACCGAAGGAGAAGACGTGCGAGTGGTCAGCGGTGATGACCGTGAGGGTCTCAGCCTCGTCTGTCAGGGTGCCYGCCCGCTCAATGGCCCGGTCAAACTCCACCGCCTCCGTCAGTGCCTTGTGCGCTGCGCCATCGTGGTGGCCGTGGTCGATTCTGCCACCTGCAGATGGGCACCTACGGTGAGCTGGGGACTGATGGCAGCACCCTCAATTCCTACCCCCACCCTACAACCCCTCTCACAGGCCCCAGCTTATCTTCCACAAAGAGGTAGAAGCCATTGGGGTTCCTGCTCAGGATGGTGATGGCCGCCTCCGTCATCTCAGTGAGTGACGGGTCCAGGGTGGTGTTACGCACCAGGTCGTACTTCATGTCCCCRGGTTCAAAGAGACCTGTGAGGGATGTGTTGGGGACAGCCTCAGTGCCTGAGTGTCCCAGTGCCCGTTGGGTGCTGGCATAGGGGTTGTTTGTTACCCATTAAATAATTCACACTGGGGTCGGCGGCAGCAGCCAGCATCTCTGTCCTGTTCCAGACGTAGYGGGCACCCTGTGGGCGAATCCCTCRSGGTTAGTGGGTRCCTGGCCCTGTGSYWGGGGCAGTGGGCAGAGGACTGTCCCTGCTGTGTCACCCACCGGCCGTTCCTTCAGCCACATGTCAATGAGGTTGTTCCCATCCTCGCGTATCCCGTTCTGCTTGCTGTTGGTGGGATACTCAGGGTCCGGCGTCCCCACGGGGGTCATGTATTTCCGCCCCCCGCCCAGGATCACCTGGGAGGGATGAGATGGATGAAGCGTTAGCGGTGTGCCCTGAGCGGGGTGTCCCTGCTGCCCTCGTCCCRTGTGTGGCTCACGTTGATGTCGACGTTGTGGACCAGCTGCCAGGCGATGTCCTTGCAGCCCTCCAGCCGCGCGCTCTCGGGCATGCTGGCGTCCGCGTACCAGTCCCGGTGCACCACGTGCGCGTAGTTCCCCGAGGGCGACGCGTGCTGCACCCGCGTCGATGTCACCACACCCACGGCCTTCCCTGCCAACCCCYGCTCATCAGACCCCACCGAGGGCGACGCGGGGTCCCCGCCATCAAGCTATGGGATGCTCACRGGGGAAAACCCCCAGTGTGACACCCCATGGGATCCCCCCAGCCCTGCACCCCCATTACCAGCTTTGCGGGCTCTCTCCAGCACCGAGATCACCTCGTTGCCAGCTGTGGTGCTGCACTGCGAGTAGCGGGCGGCCGCGCTCAGCCCTATGGTCTTGTAGTTGCCCTTCACCCCGCAGAGATAGGCCGTGGCTGTCCCTGCGCTGTCGGGGACCTGCCTGTCCACRTTGTAAGTCTGCCGAGGACAGAGGGGCTCARGASAGGGGGTCCCAGYRTGGTGTCCCCCCAGCACATCCTGCCACACTCATTCACTTGCCCATGGACACGTGTGGGATGGGGAGGGGCCCCATGCACAACCTACGCGCATCCCTGGGGTGCCAGCAGCACCGTGCCCGGGATCACCATGGACCCATGCCCAGGATCACCATGGACCCATGCCCAGGATCACCATGGCCCCATGCCCAGGATCACCATGGCCCCATGCCCGGGATCACCATGGCACCATGCCCAGGATCACCATGGCACCATGCCCAGGATCACCATGGCCCCATGCCCAGGATCACCATGGCCCCTGCCCAGTGTGCTGGAATTTACCTTGGAGAGAGCCACGTAAGGGAACGCATCCAGGGCAAGAGGGGTCTCAGGGCCCAGCTTCCCCTGCTGCTGCCCCTTYAGGATGCGGGTGGCTGTGATGCTGGGCACCCCAAATCCTGGGCACAGAGAGAGGGTCCTGGTCACCCTCTGGACCAGGTGCCCTCCACACATCGTACTCAGCAGAGCACTGGCCATGTCAGCCTGCCTGCCAGGGGTGCCAGTGGGACTCACCATCTCCAAGGAAAAGGATGAGGTTTTTGGCTTGGCGTACCCTGGGCTGGATTTTGAAGGCGGCYTCGATGGCTTTAGCTGCCTGCTTGTTCCAGAAGGATGGATTCTCCTCCTCCGCTGGGACAGCACACACACCCATCAGTCCCGCTCACCTGCACCCCTGGGGCACCCCTGCGGGGTACCCACATCCCGGGGGTGTTCATTCCCTGGGCACTCCCATGCTGGAACCTCCTCTCACATGGACCAAGTGGTTCAGGGGGCTATTTGGGGTGGGGGAAGACCATGCAGGCTTGCACCCACTGCCTGACCCCGGGGAACTGGAGCAGGGAACAAGGGGGGCAGCGAAACCAGACACAATGGGGAGTTACATGGTGAGTGGGATGGGGCCAAATCCATGGCAGGGGGTGGTGACAGAAGAGACAGGCACTTCCCCCAGAGCAGCCCCCTGCGCAGAAACAAGCAAAAACCTGGGGATGGGTCCAAAGACCCCAGAACAGCAGGGGTAACCCTCATCAATCCTTGCACTCTGGGCAGTCCCAGCTCCCCTCCCCAAGCCCTCCTTGTGGCCGGCCAGGCTGACACCCCGCTTCCCCAGACACAGACACCCACTGCAGCCAGCCGGACACCCGTCCCCATCCTTGTCCCCACCTGGGATGACAGCGGTGCTGAGCCCTGCRCAGAGGCAGAGGGTGAGGGATGTCAGGAGCTGCATGGTGAGATCTGACAGCCCAACGCCGCTGGTAGTGCCTGTAACTCCAGCAGATCTGCTGAGGGACTTTGGACAGGGATCAGCCCTCRCAGGGTGCGTGGCGGGGTTCAGCTCACACAAAGGCTGCGGGCTGGGCTGATGGCACCTCCTTGGCACAACACGGTGTGCCTGCTGGGCACAGACGGGCTTTGGGCACTGGCAGATGGCAGGAAATCCTGCCTGGCCACGGTGCTGCAGGGGAATGCCCTGTTCTGGAGTGCCACGGGCAGCACTGAGCACTGGGACAGTGGTGGTATGGGGAGCACCCCGGGTCACTCGTGCACTGAACACCCTGCTCTGCCCAGGGTTTCTCGAGCAATAAATCCATGGATGTGGACTAAAACTCTGCTCCTTGCTCAGCCCTTGCCAAGAACATACCAATCCTTGTGTACTGTGCCCCAACCGGGCAAAGTTGGGGAGGACATGGCYCCCCCTCACCTCCATTTCATCACCTCCTTCACCCCAGTGCCTCCAGGGCTGGTCCCAGGGGTGAACCAGGAGCCACAACTCAGGAGGTGACCACCACTGTGAACTGCATGGCAAATGGAGACTGACAACCTGTGTTTTATTGCATCCCTTTGTCCTGGCCACAGTGACTCCTCTCAGCCCCCCACCATGAGGACAGCCATGCAGAGGGCCAAGAGGGCGAGCAGGGGATGTGGGGAGCACTGTGTGCCATGGGAGGCCCTGCGGGCTGCCCTGCACCCGGGCTCYGTGGCGTAGGGCTCGAGGCAGGCGGCGTAGGCCATGGCGTGGGCGACGTAGGTCTGCTCCTGCACCCCGTGGAACAGGTGAGCCATGGGGCCCTGGGCCAGCACCACCACGTCCTCCCCGCTGTGAGTCTCTGTCTCCAGGGGCACGGCTGCCTGCTGCCTGTAGTCCTTGTCCTCTGCAGGGGAGAGAAGGAATGGGGCTGGAGGGTCTGGGACAGCTCCCACCACTCCTGTGCCAGAGCAACTCCTGCTCAAGGGACTCCTGAGCCTTGCAGTAGCACCAGGACCCTGCATGGCCCCTGTGGCCATGCCAGTGAGGTGCTGTCCCCAGCCACCCCATGGCTCTGCCCCATTCCCAGCAGACTCCTACCTGCAGCAGGGAGGCTGGCAGCTGGACGGGCCCCGTCACGGATGCTGTAGCCAGGACCATTACCATAGAGAATGCTGGTGTAAGCTCGCTTGTCCTTGGCCTTCTTGGGGGCCAGTCCTGGCACAGGGAAAGGCATTGTCACCCCCTGTCCCTGCTGGSTACCTCTGCCCAGCTCCCTGCCTGGGCCAGCTCAGCCTGCCAAGGGAGCAACAGGGTGAGGTGGGAGAGAGGTGCTCGCTGCCCCTCCCCAGGCCCCACCGAAGATGGAGTTGCCACGTGGTGTGCTGCCCCCAAAGGTGAAGACGTGCGAGTGATCGGCCGTCACCACGGTCAGGGTGTCGGCAGGGGAGGTGAGCTCGCCCGCCCGCGCCACTGCCCGGTCCAGCATCACGGCCTCCATCAGCGCCTGCTTGGCCCGGCCGCTGTGGTGGCCGTGGTCGATTCTGCCACCTGCACAGGAAACATGGCTGTCACCCTCTCCCTGGAGCCCTCAAATGGCCACCTGCTCCAAGGACCCACATCCCAGCCCAGCCCCAGCCACACTGCCCGCCTGAAGCTACTCATCTTCCACAAAGAGGAAGAAGCCATTGGGGTTCCTGCGCAGGATGCGGATGGCCTTTTCCGTCATCTCCACGATGGAGGGGTCCGTGGATGCATTGCGGTTCAGCTCATACCTCATGTCCTTGGGCTCAAAGAGGCCTGGGTGAACAGGGTGAGGGGGTCCATGCCGGGGCTGCTTTGTGCCCCTGCTGACACCTCCAGGGAGGGGAGGAGGAAGCATTGCCAGTGATGAAGGCAGTGATGCTCCTACCCATGAGGTGGCTCACGGAGTCCTCTTCGACCGCATCCAGACCCTTCTTGTCCCAGACGTAGCGGGCACCCTGCCAGCGAGAGCAGAGCCAGTGCCAAAGGCACACACCCCRTGCCTGGAGCCACATCCCCTCTTCCCTGGCACAGCACCTGCCTGGCACTCAGCCACTCAGCAATCAAGTCCCGGCCGTCCTTCCTGATGCCATTCTGATCCGGGTCCTCTGGGTACTCGGGGTCTGCAGTCGACCTGGGGGTCATGTACATCCTCCCGCCGCCCAGGATCACCTGCYGGGGAGCTCAGCAGACCCTGCCGGTGTCCCCGTGCCCCGTCCCTCCCRCTCCCGCTCCCCGGCTCACGTTGATGTCGGTGTTGTGCACCAGCTGGTGGGCGATGTCCTTGCAGCCGTCGCGCAGGGCGTCCGCGGGCATGCTGGCGTCGGCGTACCAGCTGCGGCTGGCCGAGTGCGCGTAGGCTGCCCCGGGGGACGCGTGCTGCACCCGCGTGGTCGTCACGATGCCCACTGCCTTGCCTGCAGCACGGGTAAGCGTTTACAGGCAGCTGTGTGAATGCTGTCTGCATTCACAGGACAGCCGTGCCAGGCTCTCCGGCAGAGTCTCCTGCTGCCTGTACCCGCCAGCCTGGCCCGGTGCAGGATGGAGTCCACCTCGTTGCCGAAGGTGCTGCGGCATTTTCCRTAGACGGCCGCCCCGCTCAGTCCCAGGGTTTTGGCGTTGGTCTTCACCCCACAGAGGTAGGCGGTGCCGGTGCCAGCGCTGTCGGGCACCTGACGGTCGATGGTATAGGTCTGGAAGCAAGATGGGTCCAGTGGGGTTTCAAGCAGGGACAGCAGGACTGTCCCCCCCAGCACTGTCCCACTCACCTTGGCCAGGGCCATGTGGGGAAAGGTCTCCATGGCCAAGACACTCTCCTCGCCTGAGCTGCCGGACAGCTGCCCCTTGTAGATCCGAGCTGCTGACATGGTGGACAGGCCCATGCCTGTGGGCATGTCCGAGTCACAGGGTGGCAGGAGGCAGAACCAGGGACAGCCCTGCTACTTGCACCAGCCCCATCTTCTCATCAATCACATCCCCCAGCTCTTGGGGAGCTGCAGGCAGGGCAGGGACCCGGGGCACTCACCGTCGCCCATGAAGAGGATGATGTTTTTGGCYCTTTGTGCCCCTTGCTGCAGTGCTAGGGCCAGCTCCAGTCTCCTCCTGGCCCCTTTATTCCAGTAGCTGGGGCTCTTCTCAGCATCTGCAGGTGAGAGCAGAGCTGGAGGCCTCCARGGCACCCCCAGGGGTCCATGGTGGGCATTTCCACCAGAGGTGAATTTAGCTGCTGTAAGCCSCCTCCATGGGGATGAGAAATCCCCCACAGATCAGCATTGGCACAGGTCTTTGGCACGTCAGCATTGCTCAAAGCCCACTTCCAGAGGAGAAACTGAGGCACAGTTTSGCAGGGAAGCCCCTTGTGCCTCTTGGCAGAGTGGATGAGGAGGCTGAGGATCAGCCACAGCGAGTGCAATGGCCAGGCAACCATGGCTGGCTGTGGCTACTGGGCCACTTGATCCAAAGCCAGGGATGGGGGTTGGGATGGGGRGCCAGGGCCTGCTTTGGAGGTGGCACTGAGACCAACCCATTCAAAGGAGGGCTCCCCTTTGCTGGKATCCCATGGGGAGGTGACAAGGTCCCTGGAGACCCCCAGGAAAGTGACACCAGCCCGAGCATCCCCCACAAAGGCGCTTACCCCACTGTGCCACACGTCCCCTGTCRCCAGCGGCTGCAGCGGCGAGCTGGGCAAGGGAGCAGAGCAGAAGGCAGGTTCCAGGGAAAAGCAGCTGCCCCATGCTGCCCAGCCCAGCTCCCTCCTGGAATGCTGCTTGTGTCCAGGGCGAGGGGACAGCCCTTTATGGCCCTTCCCTGTCCCGTGAGACGATGGGCTGATAACATTCACCCACTATCTCCCAGCCCTCCCAGGGCCCTCCCAACACCCTCGGACCCCTGGGGCTATCCCTGCCCCCCACCCGCAAGGCAGGACCTCCAGCCTGCCCCTGGGCACCTCTGGGCCCCTGCTCCCATTGGGCAGCTGCCTGCAGGACCCTGGGGAGTGCAGGGAGGGCAAAGGGCTGTTTTTGCAGACAGGCTGAGCTGGGCCAGGCTGGATTTGCCTGGTTTCCCYTGAGACAAAACCGAGGAGGGGGACACTGGGTTGAGAGGTAGGGGGTGGAAATCTTTGGTGTCAGTGTCCTCTGGTCCCCTCTCCCAGCTCCTGGGACAGCTGGTGCCTGACACGCTGGGTGCCCATGCCAGCACACCTGCACAGCAAGGGACCTGCTGTGGGCAGGGAACAGCCCCATGTCACCAGCATCAGGTGACATCCATCCACGTTTGCACCAGGCCGTCTGGAAGGACGGTGCAGGAGCACAACTCTTGGGGGTTACAGCTGTCCTTGATGGCTCCACCAGCTCCTTGGGAAGTGTGTTGTACCCACAACAGCCAATGTCGAGCTGCAGCCAGAAGGGTTTTCCACATRACATTGGGAATTTCATCAGCATCCCACAAGGAGGGAACAATCTGCCTGTGCWCCCASAGTGAAGGGAGACCCAGGAATGGAGCACAGTGGATAAGAGAGATGCAAAGGAATGAAGACCCCAGAAAATCAATCCCTCCTGCTGAGGAACGGCCCAGTTCAGGATCCCTCATCCCAGGCAGTTGAGGTTTGGCCAGCTCCTGGCTCCTGCAAAGGGCTGATGTGCTGGTGCCAGGGCCATGGCTGTCACAGATAATGAGGTACAGAGATGCAGGGCTCCCCCCCTGCCTGCACAATGGACCCATTCCTTCTTGCCAGAGGTCAATCCCTTCACCAGACACTGTTTGTGACGATGCGAAAGCTGCCAGGGCAGCACATGCCCCCAGCACATCCTGCACAGTGTGGGTGGGGCACATGGGGGTGGAGAACAGGCAGAGGTGACTGGAGATAGCAGAGGTCAGTTGGTCAGTGAGGCACTGGATGCAAGGACATGGTGCCCTAGGGCCCCTGAGCAGGGTCAGGCTGGGGGCCAAGATGTGAGGGATGGAGCAGGCACACAGGGACTCCTGCTAAAGGCTCAGACTGAGGGAACACCGGCTGCATCAGGAGCTCATCTCACTCACACCTTCTGGCCAAGCGTATCTGAGGCTGTGACAGGCAGTGAGGCTGCTTGGATTCCAAAATGCCTGGGAAGTGGCACACAGGGGAAGGCAAGGGACTGCCCAGGAGATGAGTTACTGTTGRGATGCCCCAGCTGGGGGAACTCAGAGGGCACAAAATAAAACCTGCAGGAGCTCCACACACGGCTGCTGACACGGCTTTTATTACATGACACACAACCCTGCCAGAAACCCTCCTGYATGGCCCCACAGATGCATCCCACTGCATCCCCATCCCACCTGGTATGGTGGAGCTGGCCCCTCTCCCCTCCTGGGGACACGTATCCCCACTCAGTCCTCACCACAGGCACCTGAAGCTGGAGAAGGACACCAACCCCTTTAAAAAAACACCTTAAGAAAGCATCAAGCTAAAAATACCCAAGAGTAGAAATGTTCTGCTGGGGCAGGCTCAAGCCCYGAGCCCTGCTCCCAGCTGGAGTTAAAATCCAAACCAGAAATAAAACCACAATGGTTTTAAAACRCAAAATCCCAAAGTCTTTGTGGGTCCCTTGTGTCTCCAGCGGGTGCCGGTGCAGGGCCTGGGAGATGAGGGAGCATTGGCAGCRGGGAACCCACGGCGTGGGGGCTCTCACTTGTCCAAGCTCGGCCTCTTGAGCAGGGCACTGTATTTGAGGGGGCCACCATCTGCCGTCAGCACCACCTCCACCAGCGTGAAAATGGTGATCACCTTCAGCAAGGGAGAGAAAGAGAGAAAGAAGGTGTTCAGACAGCTTGGCATCACATCAAGATTTGCTTAGAGCTGTACAGGCTTTTGCTGCCTTCACCAGTGAACCCATGAGGAACTGAGGAACAGGGCAGGATGGACTCAGATAGCTCCGCTGGGGTCCACATGACATGGGAGTTTTCCACATGACATTGGGAATTTCATCAGCATCCCACAAGGAGGGAACAATCTGCCTGTGCTCCCACAGTGAAAGGAGCGCCAGGAAGGGAGCACAATGGATAAGAGAGATGTAAGGGAATGGAGATCCCAGAAAATCAATCCCTCCTGTTCAGGAACGGTGCTGCTGCTGCCACCTCCCCTCTGCTCTGACCCCAGGTCTTCCTGTCACTGTATGGATTAGGAGTGGAAAGCATTGATCCAGTCTGTCCTTGAGGCACAGTTATGGGGCTGGCTGGGACATTGGGAAGGGCTGTTCGGGGCCATGGCCAGGCATTTGGGGACTTTGCTTGTTGGAGCCTGTCCCCAAGCCCTTTGCTGTAGCAGGGCTCACCAGGGCCATCTGTTCAGGGCTGGCCCCAGGAGAAGCAGCACAGAATTACTGGGATAACCTTGTCCAACCCTTCCCAGCTCATCCAGCRCTGGCTGCTCCAGATTAATCATTCAGAACAGGAAAATCTCATTGAGGTTTAGAAGAAGCAAAGTGGCCAGTGAGGAGCAAGCTGCAGGAAAATCCTACCATGACTGGTTGCAGAGCTGTGGGCTACTGAGCACCAGCCCCTGCCTGTCCCAGCTGGCCACACTGCAGGGGGTGGTGGCCATGGGGCAGCCCCCCACATTGGGGCCAGAATGGGAGCTGGGGTGCTCAGTGCTGTGTCCAGGTGACATCTACCAGAGTTCAGCACRGCTCACAGGATCTGGCTCATCCCAGGGCTGGAGATTTATAAACTCAGGGATCTGCTGGCTCAGAGGATAGCTCAGAGCCTGATCCCATGGGAGAGCTSCAGTGTTTTCTTAGGAGGTGTGGAGGGTTCGTGGAGGAGTTTCCTCTACCAACTGTTTGCTTAACCAAAATGGGCTCTGCTCATGCTGGGGCGTCATTTTTCATCAGCTCCCTGCTAGGGTGTAAGTGATCCCTGCTCCTGTAGGAAAGGAGGAACTGAGGCCACTCCAGGCTGCATCCATGGGGTTTCTCTGAGCCAAGCTGACAGAGGAAAGCTCAGCTTCAAAGGGAGGGAGCCTGAAGAAATGTTTGCAGAGCCGGATCCAGCTCTGATCACAGCTTCCACCCTGGGAAGGGAAGGACTCTCCAGGACACACACCACACCAGCTGGGAGGGTCAGCCCTCTCTGTATCAGCACCCCTAGGTGGGCAAGGATGGCATGTGCTGGGCTTGGATGGAATTGGGGCTCAAGTGCAGAGTCCCCAGAGTGGTGCAGGGAGAGGCTGGGATTCAGCCCTTCAAGCAGGGATCATAGCAGTCAACACAGCTGGGGTTTTACAGCCACGCCAGACAAAAGCTGGCAAAGAGGCACCACTTAATCAAGCCAGACAAATGCGATTGCTCGCTTTGATTGAGTTACCAAGTTAATAGATGACAGGGACACAAAAGAGAGATTTCTAGATGCAGTTAAACCATTTGACACTGCATCTCAGGAAGTCTGATTTTAAAAAAAWTCTCCTAATTGAGGCTCAACCCTGTCACAGGGATGGAAACCCCAAGAAAAGGCCATGGCAGGGGCAAAGAACGCCAGCATGGGGGGAAGGGTCCAGATAGGAGCTGCCTTAGACCTGATCTTACTTAACATCTTAATTGATGATCTGGAAGGAGGAAGTAAACAGAATGTTAATTCAATTCCTGGAAGAAACTGAATTGGAAGGCAGGGCACACAGCAGGCAGGGCAGACTGAAGGCTGTGGAGGGGTCAGATGGTGAGGGCAGCAATAGGATGGGTCTGGGCTGGATGGTAGAGGAGGTCGAGGCTGAAGCTGGGCTCACTAGGAARGGAACACAGAGGGACAGCAGGACCTGACACCCTGTGAGKCAAGTCCTGCCTCACAGACCTGTGYCTGCAGACACCACAGGATCCACATGTTGCACACAGCCTCCATGCCAGCCCCAGTGTGTTGTGAGCCTATCCCATGCCATGGGGGTCTTACCTGGGGCACAGATTCCTCCTCCAGCTCCTCTGGTTGCCAGAGGAGTGTCAGCTCTGGCTTCTTCCCAGCCTTCTGGAAGCGGAAGTCCACCAAGGGCAGCGCCTGGAGGCAGGGAGAGTGTTGAGAACATGGCCCCCCCAGCTCTCCTCCCCCACCTTCCTGAGGATGGGGCTGACRCTGCTTTTGCCCAGCATGCAGAGCTCTGAAGCTCTTTAACAACTGGGATGCAGCAGCCAGTGAGCCTGAGCCTAGCACGTAAATCAGGGGCTGCTGTGATACACCACCAGCCCATATATCACGCTCTATGTCCTGTTTAAAGATGTCATTGCCAGCCATATAACCAGGTTATTAAGAGAGGATGCTGTCACCAACTGCAGGTGCTGGCCCACAGTGCTGCTGTCACAGCCCCAGATAAACTGTCTGATTAAACGAAATGAAAACCAGCCTCCCTCCCTCCCTTTCCTTGCTTCAGACCCCTGCTCATCTCTGCTCCCCTGGGTCTGGCTTCAG